AGATTAATGGAATATGGAGATGCCCAAGATAAGTTTTCATAAACATTAAATCCAAACAGAGATCATATTTCTAATCTTCTCCGAACATTTCTTCATGAAAACGACTTATCGATCATTCCATTAAACAGTCGACAAATTAGTCGACATTGTGTATGGAATCACGTCCGGTACCCTTACGAGGGGAGAGTATCAACTTTGGCGATCGTAATGCCTCTCTACAAAGGAGGGTGTCGCCTTCAAGGGTTAGGTATGAACAGTGGTTCTATACCAGTTTTTCCAAATTATTCGGGCACTTCAGGAAAGCCCCAGTCGTTGTTTCAATGAAGCTGTGCTCTTCGAAGGATAGAGCCATGTTTTCTTTCATAAATGTGAATTATAATGAATAATATAATGCGCAATCAGAGAAGCATAATACTAATCCATTTTTTTTTTTTCAGGATAATCCAGAAGAAATGTAAACTATGGCAAATATCTCATCATTTGAGATCCTGTACTCACAAGAACTCTATAATCGTTCAGGACAATTCACTCTGATGAGGCCAAGATATGTCAGACAGATTAATGGAATGTGGAGATATCCAAGATGAGTTTTCATGAACATTATATCCAAATAGAGATCATATTTCTGTTTCATAGATATAAATTATAATGAATAATATATTGGCCAATCAGAGGAGCATGATACTAATCCTTTTTTTTTCCAGGATATTCCAGAAGAAATGTAAACTATGGCAGATATCTCATAATTTGAAATCCTGTACTCACTAGAACTCTATAATCGTTCAGGATAATTCACTTGGAGGAGCTCAAGATCTATCAGACAGATGAATGGAATATGGAGATGTCCAAGATAAGTTTTCATGAACATTAAATCCAAACAGAGATCATATTTCTAATCTTCTCCGAACATTTCTTCATGAAAACGACTTATCGATCATTCCATTAAACAGTCGACAAATTAGTCGACATTGTGTATGGAATCACGTCCGGTACCCTTACGAGGGGAGAGTATCAACTTTGGCGATCGTAATGCCTCTCTACAAAGGAGGGTGTCGCCTTCAAGAATTGGGTATGAACAGTGGTTTTATACCAGTTTTTCCAAATTATTTGGGCACTTCAGGAAAGCCCCAGTCGTTGTTTCAATGAAGCTGTGCTCTTCGAAGGATAGAGCCATGTTTTCTTTCATAAATGTGAATTATAATGAAAAATATATTGCGCAATCAGAGAAGCATAATACTAATCCAATTTTTTTCAGGATAATCCAGAAGAAATGTAAACTATGGCAGATATCTCATCATTTGAGATCCTGTACTCACAAGCTATGGCAGATATCTCATCATTTGAGATCCTGTACTCACAAGAACTCTATAATCGTTCAGGACAATTCACTTAGAGGAGTTCAAGATCTGTCAGACAGATTAATGGAATATGGAGATGTCCAAGATAAGTTTTCATAAACATTAAATCCAAACAGAGATCATATTTCTAATCTTCTCCGAACATTTCTTCATGAAAACGACTTATCGATCATTCCATTAAACAGTCGACAAATTAGTCGACATTGTGTATGGAATCACGTCCGGTACCCTTACGAGGGGAGAGTATCAACTTTGGCGATCGTAATGCCTCTCTACAAAGGAGGGCGTCGCCTTCAAGAGTTAGGTATGAACAGTGGTTTTATACCAGTTTTTCCAAATTATTTGGGCACTTCAGGAAAGCCCCAGTCGTTGTTTCAATGAAGCTGTGCTCTTCGAAGGATAGAGCCATGTTTTCTTTCATAAATGTGAATTATAATGAATAATATATTGCGCAATCAGAGAAGCATAATACTAATACAATTTTTTTCAGGATATTCCAGAAGAAATTTAAACTATGGCAGATATCTCATCATTTGAGATCCTGTACTCACAAGAACTCTATAATCGTTCAGGACAATTCACTTAGAGGAGCTCAAGATCTATCAGACAGATTAATGGAATATGGAGATGTCCAAGATAAGTTTTCATGAACATTAAATCCAAATAGAGATCATTTTTCTATTTCATAGATGTAAATCATAATGAATGATATATTGGGCAATCAGAGGAGCATAATACTAATCCAATTTTTTTCAGGATATTCCAGAAGAAATGTAAACTATGGCAGATATCTCATCATTTGAGATCCTGTACTCACAAGCTATGGCAGATATCTCATCATTTGAGATCCTGTACTCACAAGAACTCTATAATCGTTCAGAATAATTCACTTAGAGGAGTTCAAGATCTGTCAGACAGATTAATGGAATATGGAGATGTCCAAGATAAGTTTTCATGAACATTAAATCCAAATAGAGATCATATTTCTAATCTTCTCCGAACATTTCTTCATGAAAACGACTTATCGATCATTCCATTAAACAGTCGACAAATTAGTCGACATTGTGTATGGAATCACGTCCGGTACCCTTACGAGGGGAGAGTATCAACTTTGGCGATCGTAATGCCTCTCTACAAAGGAGGGTGTCGCCTTCAAGAATTGGGTATGAACAGTGGTTTTATACCAGTTTTTCCAAATTGTTCGGGCACTTCAGGAAAGCCCCAGTCGTTGTTTCAATGAAGCTGTGCTCTTCGAAGGATAGAGCCATGTTTTCTTTCATAAATGTGAATTATAATGAATAATATATTGCGCAATCAGAGAAGCATAATACTAATCCAATTTTTTTCAGGATATTCCAGAAGAAATATAAACTATGGCAGATATCTCATCATTTGAGATCCTGTACTCACAAGAAATCTATAATCGTTCAGGACAATTCACTTAGAGGAGCTCAAGATCTATCAGACAGATTAATAGAATATGGAGATGTCCAAGAAAAGTGTTCATGAACATTAAATCCAAATAGAGATCATATTTCTATTTCATAGATGTAAATTATAATGAATAATATATTGCGCAATCGGAGGAGCATAATACTAATCCAATTTTTTTCAGGATATTCCAGAAGAAATTCAAACTATGGCAGATATCTCATCATTTGAGATCCTGTACTCACAAGAACTCTATAATCGTTCAGGACAATTCACTTAGAGGAGCTCAAGATCTATCAGACAGATTAATGGAATATGGAGATGTCCAAGAAAAGTTTTCATGAACACCAAATCCAAATAGGGATCATATTTCTATTTCATAGATGTAAATTATAATGAATGATATATTGCGCAATCGGAGGAGCATGAAACTAATCCAATTTTTTTCAGGATATTCCAGAAGAAATGTAAACTATGACAGATATCTCATCATTAGAGATCCTGTACCCACAAGAACTCCATAATCGTTCAAGACAATTCACTTAGAGGAGTTCAAGATCTGTCAGACAGATTAATGGAATATGGAGATGTCCAAGATAAGTTTTCATGAACATTAAATTCAAATAGAGATCATATTTCTAATCTTCTCCGAACATTTCTTCAAGAAAACGACTTATCGATCATTCCATTAAACAGTCGACAAATTAGTCGACATTGTGTATGGAATCACGTCCGGTACCCTTACGAGGGGAGAGTATCAACTTTGGCGATCGTAATGCCTCTCTACAAAGGAGGGTGTCGCCTTCAAGAGTTAGGTATGAACAGTGGTTTTATACCAGTTTTTCCAAATTATTTGGGCACTTCAGGAAAGCCCCAGTCGTTGTTTCAATGAAGCTGTGCTCTTCGAAGGATAGAGCCATGTTTTCTTTCATAAATGTGAATTATAATGAATAATATATTGCGCAATCAGAGAAGCATAATACTAATCCAATTTTTTTCAGGATATTCCAGAAGAAATTTAAACTATGGCAGATATCTCATCATTTGAGATCCTGTACTCACAAGAACTCTATAATCGTTCAGGACAATTCACTTAGAGGAGCTCAAGATCTATCAGACAGATTAATGGAATATGGAGATGTCCAAGAAAAGTTTTCATGAACATTAAATCCAAATAGAGATCATATTTCTATTTCATAGATGTAAATTATAATGAATAATATATTGCGCAATCGGAGGAGCATAATACTAATCCAATTTTTTTCAGGATATTCCAGAAGAAATGTAAACTATGGCAGATATCTCATCATTTGAGATCCTGTACTCACAAGAACTCTATAATCGTTCAGGACAATTCACTTAGAGGAGCTCAAGATCTGTCAGACAGATTAATGGAATATGGAGATGTCCAAGAAAAGTTTTCATGAACACCAAATCCAAATAGGGATCATATTTCTATTTCATAGATGTAAATTATAATGAATGATATATTGCGCAATCGGAGGAGCATGAAACTAATCCAATTTTTTTCAGGATATTCCAGAAGAAATGTAAACTATGACAGATATCTCATCATTAGAGATCCTGTACCCACAAGAACTCCATAATCGTTCAAGACAATTCACTTAGAGGAGTTCAAGATCTGTCAGACAGATTAATGGAATATGGAGATGTCCAAGATAAGTTTTCATGAACATTAAATTCAAATAGAGATCATATTTCTAATCTTCTCCGAACATTTCTTCATGAAAACGACTTATCGATCATTCCATTAAACAGTCGACAAATTAGTCGACATTGTGTATGGAATCACGTCCGGTACCCTTACGAGGGGAGAGTATCAACTTTGGCGATCGTAATGCCTCTCTACAAAGGAGGGTGTCGCCTTTAAGAGTTAGGTATGAACAGTGGTTCTATACCAGTTTTTCCAAATTGTTCGGGCACTTCAGGAAAGCCCCAGTCGTTGTTTCAATGAAGCTGTGCTCTTCAAAGGATAGAGCCATGTTTTCTTTCATAAATGTGAATTATAATGAATAATATATTGGGCAATCAGAGCAGCATAATACTAATCCAATTTTTTTTCAGGATATTCGAGAAGAAATGTAAACTATGGCAGATATCTCATCATTTGAGATCCTGTACTCACAAGAACTCTATAATCGTTCAGGACAATTCACTTAGAAAATTGCAAAGTGTAGAGCGACTACATACCGTTGTCGACCGGCGCATGAGTGTCGCAGTAGGCGATCTTCTGGACCAGCACCGGCTGCGCTTCGCCGCCGCCCTTGACCGTGTCCATGTTCATGTAGAGGCCGGCCTGCTGGGCGCAGGTCACGTGGAAGGCCGAGTAGCAGCTGCTCTTGTGACATTGCACGCACGCTCCAACGCCCTTCTGTTTGCAGACGTAGCAGGTGAGGCGCCATCTGGCGGCCGGAATGGTCTCAATGGAGTCTGAGGAATGGATGACGATAGCAATATTCTTTTTACCTTGTTACATTCTCACTACTGAGATCAGTTGAGTTAGAAGGAGGTGAAACGGATCTGAGTTGTTGATTGAATAAAAAGAACACGTCTGTCAGGAAGGACAAGGGAAGAAAACATAACCCAACATACTTCAACCAAAATGTAAAATGGCTGAGAAAATTAATGAAGAGCATAGAAATATTATTATTGTAGTGAGTATTCAAAGGATTTAACCTGTGGACTGAAACTTCAAAGCTGAAAGCATGACAAAATGAAAATGTAACCTCACAATTTTCTGTACAGATCCACAGAATTACTAGAATTAATCCAGTCTCACCTTTTTCTCACTACAACACCAGATAAATAGCAAGCTCAGTTGGGGTGAGGGAGAAGAAATAGTCCCAATAAGTTCTTAAGACAACTCACATCAGACTAAGATGAATTTTATTCACATTTTCATTACTAATTGGGAATATTTCAACTATTAAATCATGAACACGAAATTTTTTTTTATGTTCTGGTTCCGACGAAAAGGGATATTCTGTAATGTTCAGAGAACATCGTGAGAACCAAGGGAAATAAGGTAGGAATTGGTGTTTTTTTTTAATTTCTGGAGGTTATATGCCTTGGGGAACACCTCCCATGTGACCACAAAGGTGTGCAAAGCCTCTACTCGACGGGTTAATCTCGCGGGGACTGCCAAGGGAGGAGAGCTAGCGTTTCTTGAGAGGTGATCATTTTCATTATTGAAAAAATAATTAATGATTTTAAATAATACATGACAGTAAATTTCATCAATACATGGAAGGAACAATATAAAATAGATGTCACGTAAATTCCACTAGTAGAAAGTTGGAATCTTAAGTTGGAATTTATATCACAGATCATTCTCAACTTTGGTGTACAGGAATGCAAGGAAATTTTGTTGATCAACTCCAAAACATACCGATCGGTTCCAAGAAAACGGTATTCGCAAATCTAACTTCCGGTATCCACAAGGCACAAACGACGTGCGCCCAAGTCCCTCTATCTGTCTGTTTGAATGCCCCTCCTTTGTTGGGGCACAACACACAATCTACTGCTCTGCTGGGAGATTGCAAACACCTGAAAAAGATTACTCCTTCAAGAAAAACGTTGTATGTAATCAGTAAAAGGTCCGGTCATTCAGAATATTATATATTTTATGTTGTTAGGACCTAAACCAATATTAAAAAAACAGATTTGCAATTTCCAAAGTGCTGTGCGAGCGACGGTATACCCAAAAAAACATGAAATTTTCGGACTTATTTCAATTTTCGCTCAATATCTCAGAGAAGAAGGGTTTGACTGCTGTAGTCACCCCATAAACTTCTGAAGATAACTAAATTTGCTACAATTTGAGGCTAAGGCGAGCTCCATACAGCTATTGGTTCCCAAGATACAGTTCTTCGAAAATGGTAAATTTTTTCGAAAAAGTGGAATTTCTTCAAAATGGTCACCTATTCTGTGAATTATCTTCTAAAATACGCTTCCCACGTCAAATAATATGTGGAATGAAGTTGAAGTAAATTTAATTAGCTTTCATTTGAGACTAGATTGCCAGATGCTGAGTTTTCAGAAACATTGCCATTATCAGGAGAGATTTTCGTCAAAAACTGTACAAGAAATTGCAGAAGAGGTGATCATTTCAACAAAATATGATTGTATCAAGAAATATCCATGAAGATTTCAGTGAAAAACGCAAATGACAGTCATTGTTAATAATTATAATGCTTTCCCCTATTTCACAAAAATATTCATTGAACACACAACGAATTTACTGTCTGTAATAACTTGCTCCACAGTGGATATGCAGATCAATGTTAGTTTCAGTCTTAGTCCCTTCTATAAACTCATTTACTAGATTTCATGGTTATTTCACGTTACTTCCTGCATTTTCCCCTTTTTCTTTAAATAACTCCGTTTCAGTTTTCTGCCTTGATATGTACTTCATTTTTTGTAACTCAGAACTGTTCACAAATTTCATTATAATAGATTTTGGATTTCGTTTTTTTCAATTACAAGCTCATGTCTTTTTTTTATTTTCATTATACAGGGTGTTTCCTAACTGCAGGGGGTGATTTGTTAGGTCATTTTGAGAAGAAAAGTTCTTATGAACATATGTCCGGAGTTGCTTCGTTTCTGAGATACAGGGCGTTGAAATTAAAGAAAAAAAAACGGTAATTATAAAATATCATGAATATCCTGGAACCGATTTGATTGAAATATGGTACATTTATTTATCAAATTTTCTAAGATTTCAGCATATCAAGTGTCAATTGAATTTTTGGCGGAGATAATGAAAAACTCATTTCTCCAATGCAGGTGTTCATGATATGTAATACTATGGCTTTGATTTTTTTTTCTCGAAAACGAAGCTGGATATGAAGGAAATGCAGGACACCAAAAAGTTGTATTTTGAGTTGCTCAATCTACACAAAATAAAAATTTACCAAAAAAATCAGTGGCGTACTTTTTTTTCACAATATTGTTGGCTGTGGTGCCCACTGAGACGCCACTGGCCCCAATAATTTCGATCTGAATAGGGCTAAATAAGCGCCTTATTAGTTCAAATGGAAGTACCAAATTTCAACCAAATTGGTTTTAGGATATTCATGAAATTTTATAATTACCGTTTTTTTTCTTTAATTTGAACGCCCTGTATCTCAAAAACGAAGCAACTCCGGACATATGTTAATAGGAACTTTTCTTCCTAAAATGATCTAACGAATCACCACCCGCAGTTAGGAACCGTAGTTAGGAAACACCCTGTATATTTTTATTATTGATATTGATATATTTTTATCATTTATATTCAATTTTTTCATATAAATCTATAAAATCTATTTAAAAAAACGAAAACCATGTTTTCATCTTTCAACTTTTTCATTGCAACTCATGGTCATAGATCCCTGACATACCGTCTACATAACCATTGTCCTTCTGGAATATAAGGCACACCGTAGCAGTCTTGATGTACGGCCAAATTACACATGTCACAAAACAGTATGACATTAGTATTTTGGCATTCACCGTCCATACATATGCAGCAAACTGCATCATCATCTACAACTGCTCCTGAATGGCCATTCACAGAAGCCTAAAAAAACAATTTAAATCAGAAGCGTTTTATTTTTTTCGATTTATCCACGCACCAAAGTTGAACACTAAAATGAAAAAATAAATAACAAAACAATAAAAACTACAAAATATGAATATTTAAACATATTCAAATAGACATATATCACGTAACTGAATCGTAGTTATTGAAAAACAAATGTGTATAAAATGACAAATATTCCACTCCAATTCTCTAGCTAGAACTTTTTTTTTAATTCAGATCTTCAATGATTTATGAACCATAATTGGAGAAAAGTTATAGTATGTTCAAATTATTGTTATTTCTAGTGTTATGATTATGAAACAGATATGAATGGGAGCTTCGTTTCCGATATACAGGGTTTCAGAGTTTGCACGACCCCAAAAGGGTAACATACTGTAGGTATTAAAGAACGCTCGATAGGCTCAAATGTTGAGTTTCCAAAGTGTACTAGGTGTACCAAATTACAATTCATTATTTTGAAAAATGTAGGAGAAAACTTGAAAAACACAAATAAAAATCTCAAACTTTGAACCCAGTATATCGAAAACGAAACCCCCCACGCATATACGTTTACATGATGGGGTTTTCGTTTGAAAAAATGTGCCTTAAGCTGTTATAATCTTGCAACAAAGTACGGACTCGAAAAATAAAGTTTCATTACAAGAAAATTACTCTTAGTATTTATTTTGAAAGCCGTACAGTTTTCGAAAGCGAAAAGTATCCAAATTGAAGGGAAAACCTGAATTGATGTTTCATAGAAAACAGAGGCAGTACGCAAAAAAGTTTGTGAGGGTTAACTCGCGGGTACGACCCTCAAAAGTGTATCATCCTGTAGGTATTCAAGAACGCTCGATAACGTACGAAGTATACCAAATTTCAATTCATTATTTTGAGAATTTTAGGAGGAAATTGGAAAAACACAAAAAAACTTCAACTTTGAAACCCTGTATATCGGAAACGAAGATCTGACTCACCCTCTATACCTTTTAGGGAAGAAGTTCAAGGTCTCTCGCAATAATTGTTTGATATTTTTTGTTATAGAACACCCTATATTTTTTTTTAATATCTCCTTCCTGAATTCAGATATAATAGAAATAGATAGAAGAATCCCAACCCCGTTCAATCTCAAGTCCACAAAGGGACTTGATAAGGTTTTCAAAGACTTAGGATTTGAAAGCATTCATCAGTCTGGGTCAAAATTAGACAATTTATTAGGTAATCCAAAAGATAAGGTGGACACACTTAAGAAGTCAGGAATATACGAAATTAGTTGAAATGATTATGATGAAACATATATAGGCCAAACCAGGCGACCCATAAAAACAAGGTTCAAAGAACACATAGCACATTTGAAATATGGTATGTTAGAAAAATCGTGTTCTCGCCGAATACATGTTTAGTCACAATCATAACACATATATATTATTACAATAATTCGAATAGACGAATAAAATCGCAAGTGTTTTCTTCATAAACGCCGAGCTGCGCCCAAGTGGTTCAGGAACTCGCGACATATTATGCAAAAAAGCGATTCTGCTCACTTGTTTGTTTTTAAAAAGGATGTATAGGGTGTACTATCAAAAAATCAAAAGTATGAGTAATATACCGAAATTGAAAAAAAAATGCTAGCAGTTATGAAAATGTAAGTGTTTATAATTCCCAAATTCCCATTTTATATCTTTGGAAGCAAAACAGTTTCTCCTACGGGGCTGATTATGGTCTCATTCGATTCAGCGTGCCATTTTCTACTGAAAAGGCGATAATTCGCGTGAATTTTTGTCGTTTTCTGGCACTTTCGGCCGTCCGAAGATGGCTCGGTGACTATATCGTATGGAAGTCTTAGGTGGGAAAATGAAAATTTTTATTTGGCCTATTAAAAATCTGAAAAAATTCACATAGACTAATTTGATATCGAAATGAACGAATCTGTGGTGGAAATGGGGTAATTTTGGAAAATGGAGACGTAGTAGTCTACCGGCGTGCTCCAATTGGCAAAACAAGCGAAAACCTGACTTTGAGCGCCGATATCTCAAAAACTCTCTGTCCTACAGGGCTGATTATGGTCTCATTCGATTCAGCAGGTCATTTTCTACTGGAAAAGCGATAATTCGCGTGAATTTCTGCCGTTTTCTGGCACTTTCGGCCGTCCGAAGATGGCTCGGTGACTATATCGTATGGAAGTCTTAGGTGGGAAAATGAAAATTTTTATTTGGCCTATTAAAAATCTGAAAAAATTCACATAGACTAATTTGATATCGAAATGAACGAATCTGTGGTGGAAATCGGGAAATTTTGGAAAATGGAGACGTAGTATCCTACCGGAGTGCTCCTATTGGCAATAAAAGCGAAAAGCTGACTTTGAGCGCAGATATCCCAAAAACTATCTGTCCTACGTTTCTACCCACTCTTTTTTTGTGCATAATGTTTGTAGTATACTTGAATAATTTTATTATTTCTCCACAGGACATTAGTGTTAGGTGAGCTAGATGAGAATGAAACAAATACTTCTGAAGTTGAAGTTACTAAGTGAGCAATACCCCCAGGAACTCAGTTTGTCATCAAGAGTTGAAAAGTAGCAAAAATAGGTCATTTTATAGGCATTCTAGAAGACAAAATTTGAAATAATGCATTTGTTTTAATCTGGGTTTTCACAAAGTCATAGACATGGTCTTAGACTGTGTTTTTATAAATGTTTTTCACAATATTTTATTTCCATGAAATTTTGAACCATCATCAGAACCAGTTGATAACTGAATCATTTTCAATTTTAATAACAAATTTGATATTGGATCAACAAAATTCAGCTCAACACAGAGACATGCCTACATATCTCCCAGATCTATTGGAGAAAAAAAATGAAATCTGATGATTGGTTTAGTCTCAAAATTTATTTTTATAAACACACTTTTTCCAATTTCATCTTTCCATTATGTTCCATCTCTATCTGATACCCAAGGCTGATACAAGGATGTGCTGATACCTATAGTGAATTGTATATTTCAATGAAAACAAAGAGAATGAAAATCAAAACAGTTTTGGATTTGGATAGAGCAACTCGAGGGGAAATTCGCTGAGGAATTTTGGTGTACACTTGTGTGGAATTACGAGGAATTACAGTGGAATTGCATGGCATTGCGAGGAATTGCGAGGCATTGCGAGGAATTGCGAGGCATTACGAGGCATTGCGAGGAATTGCGTGGCATTACGAGGAATTGTGTGGCATTATGAGGAATTATGATGCGCATTATTGGCATTATGATATGAATTGCGCATGCGTTGATATTTCGATTACGTCATCGCTCGCCACGTGTTCCAAGTTGTGTTAACGGAAAACGTGAAATCACTGAAATCCTTCAGTAGACTGTTAGCTAGGTTAGGAAAATGACATCACGATACTACACATACGCTGTTCTGGTATCTGTGCTCTGAAATAAACAAGGTAAGTGACGAATAAACGTTATTTACTCGGTTATTTATTTTGGTTGTTCTTATTTTGGGTGTTATTGTAGAAGTTTTATCATAAAGAGTTAATTAGTCCTTCAGTTAATTAGGTTGGTATTTACTAGATATACAGGGTATCCGGAGATAATGACAAAACTCGTGGGGTTTATATAGGAACTGCCAATATGATTGCAAAATGCCATGTATACAAATGTCCAAAACCGCTTCGTTACTGACATACAGAGTGATTTGATAGTTTGGACAACAAATTGAATCCTCCATATTTAATGCCGATTTGGGTTAAATTTGGTACATGAATTGAACTAAAAGGCCTTAACTAGTAGTCCTTTGATGAAACCAATATCAGGACCGGAGTATTATCTTTTTATCATGTTGAGTTACCCTGTATAATAATTATCAAAAATCTGATCACACATTCAAATTCTACGGAAAAATACTAATTTATTAGCGTTTATTAGTGAGCAAATATAATCCACAAACAATTCAGTCAATTCCTTTTTGAAAAAGTTCCTATAAGATTTTTTTTAGTAGATTTCAGAATCAGCTATCAGATTATTGATGATTGTTTTACTAGGTCAGTAGTTATTCTTACAAGAACTGAACATAATAAAGATTCATTCCGACCTTAATACGAATTTATTTTCTAGTTTTTTTGAGTCAGTACTTCATCAGACAATTGAATTCCTCCGGTGAAAAAATTGAAAATACCTAATTTATTACGGAATAACTGAAATGGTACCAGAAACTTTTTCTACAAGTTCCTGTAGGATTGTTCCCGTAGATTTTCGATCTAAGATCAGATTTTCGATAATTTCTATACAGGGTGAGTTATTCTTACAAAAACACAACATAAAATAATATTCCGATCTTTATATTATTCATTATGAATCGGAATAAATATGAGGAATTGCAAAGAATGACAGTGGAATTGCGAGGAATTACAGTGGAATTGCGAGGAATTGCGAGGAATTGCGAGGAATTGCGAGGAATTGCAAGGAATTGCAAGGCATTATATGAGGCATTACGGGGCATTACGAGACATTAGGAGGAATTATGAGGCATTACTAGTCAATATAGTGAATTAAAAAGCATTATTTTGGCATTGAGGAATTAGTGTACATCATTCTGCTCAGCGAATTGCCCCTCGGAGCAACTCTTCTGTTCCACTTTAGGTTTATTTTATTTATCCTGAAGGAAATCATCATAGCTATGGGCAACATATTGACATACATCACATGGTCAAATATGAGTGAGCCTATATATAACATTGCAGCCCATGTAGAAGCACATTTTATAAAAAAATTGATGATTCAAATTGAAGTGGTTCAATTGTGAAAAATGAAGATATCAGAGTCAAAATTATTAAACCATATAATATGTTATTTTATTGTTATTTTAATAGAATTTTATTTCTAGAAGAAACAATTACTACCATCTCTCTAAAGAATCAGTTTGAGCTGTTTTATGTGGTTATATTTTCAAAAATCTAGAAATATTGAGGGGCAAACAGGAAAGATAATCTTTGATTCAAAATCTACAATCATATAAATTTCTTTACTTGGAAATATGATTCTTTTTCCAAACGATCCATCAATAGTTCCAATGAGTCCACAGATACAGGAGCCAAACCAGAGGCTTCTCTTTTGTCATTCATTATAGAAAGCCAAGCAGTATCTTCTTCATCTACATCATACTCCACCTAAAACAAAACTTACAGATTGATTACTGATATTTTAATCAAATAAAAGTGGGGTCTTTTACCTTCAACTTTTCACAGTTATAAACATGTACTATGATAAGCAAAAAACAAACATTCAGTCAGTAGTTTTCCTTCCAGATATCCAAAATATTCCAAAATTTCACTGTCATTGCATTTCAATCACTCAACAAATCATTTTTCAACATTTTTTACTTAATGGTTTTTAATGCCACAAAATACAGAGCTGGAGATAGCTGGTGATTTGAAATTTACAAAAAAAAAGACACCACCTCTAATATAAAAATATTCCAATGTCTCACTTTTACCAAAATGTGTAGTTGAAATAATAAATCTCAGGCTTTAATATTAAAATATTCTATATTTTATTCATGTAGACAATGAACTTACCTCTCCATCCAATTCTTCTGTACTTTTTTCAATGAACCTAATATATGCATTTGGTCTTTGTGGAGCATCACAAATATTATAATCTTCCAGCTCTTTGAAGCTTGCTTCAGGTAGCTGAACAACAGGCTGTTGTGAAGCTTAAAATATTTCAAAATTGAATTTTGACCATGTTCAATTGATCCTACAGGTATACTACTCACTAGGTGGTTGTTCTGGTTTCACTTCTGTCATTTCCTCATCAGAAAAATCTTCTTTTGGGACAACATCCATAGGTTCATGTATATTCCATCTACAGGCTACTCCATTAACTTCAAATTGCACCATTGTTTGTGCCTCTTCAAATGTCAGAGGTTCAGGAGCAGTCTGTTGGGGTGGAATTTTAGCTTTAGTCAGCCTATTTCTTCCTAAAACAGAAAGCAGGGATAAATTTACACTGGTATCTGATACTGTGAAGAAGAAACTCACCTTTCTTATTTCTAGGAGTAGTTGTGGTAACTGGTGGTAAAGGGGTTGGATTGTCATGGTCATAACTTTTCAAGTGATATTGTAACCCACATACTGACTTGTAAGATCTTGAACATTTTTCGATGGGACATGTATAGGGGGGTCCATGATCAGCCCTCACTTTTCTACAGTGTTCAAGTATATCAAAGTCTATACCCATTATCACTACTCATTCCAGTTCAATGTACCCTCTATAAAGACATCAAACATAGGAAGAATACATAACTCTGGACCACTTTAAAATCATCAATCGAAATTCTCAATATTCATTCAAAATATTAATCCATCGTCCAGAGTAGTATCAGTAAAAACATTCAAAATAAAACAACAACAACCCAACTCCAACACCCTCCCAACAAATGTGAGGTTAAAACTAAATTCTTCTTTCTTTTTCGGGTTTTTAACATCTTAACTCTAAAGAGTACTTGCCCACTTGCTCATATCACTTTGAAAGTCTTTGACCTACTTGGCAGCTGGCAGGATCATTTTGAGTTTTGACGGCAAGTTTGACAGCTGTCGACGTAATCAATCAAAACAATGACGACAAATTGACACTGACGTCACTGATAAAAGTCAAAATTGCAAAAATATTGTATTTTTCTACTACTTTTCAGGAGTTAACAGCAATTTTTCAATTTTACGCAAGTTTGATAATTATAAAATGATTTTTATTTTGTAATTTATATGACTTGTATACAGCTATGTTCAATTCCATGACAAATTGTCATCAACTCATTGCATAAATACATAAATCGAGTGAAACTGTAGTCATAAAATAATTATTTTGGCAATAATATTTAATAAAATGTGTCAAAGTCCCAATACTTTGGAGGACCTGTGTTTAGAATCCGTTTGTGAGAACATTTTAACTTATATTGAACCAGTAGAAACAAAGGAATTGTGTTGGAACAGTTCAGAAGACAATGATAGCTCTGAGGATGAATGCACAAATTTCAGATTTAAGGATCCTGAGATTTTTCTCATTCGAGCAATATCTGAGAAATTGCTGAACAGATTAGTGGAAAAAAGACTATTGAGAGACTCTCTATTAAACATATTCTCAAATGAAAATACAAAATTGACTAAGTTTAAGATACAAAATTGTAATAAGGTTTCCAAGACTGGATTACAGATTTTGAAACATCATAAAATTCAAGATTTAGAATGTGTCAAAATGGAAAAAGTTAGTATTGGAGAGATTATAGGTGAGTTGCTCATGTTGGATTGAAATATTCTGAGGAATATGCATTCATTGATATATTCAGTAGTCATCCATAATATTCAGGAATGTTGATTTGATATTTTTCACTTGATTGCTGTAGTAAAAATCATTGAAGGGTACCTACTGTTAGATTGTTTTTGGTGAATTTATAGTCAAAACATACAAGAATTACCTATCTCTGTGTTTTGCATGTATCTAACATACTTTGATATTTGGAATTCAGGACTTCATGATACATTTTTGTAGATTGCTTAAATCAATGGTCTATTGATAATATCACAGCAGTCAACTTTTCAAAATGTAGCTTCATTGATGAATCCAGATATACCTTCATGATGAAAATATCAGACTTGAAAAATTTGAGAATACTCAATTTATCTTATACTGAATTGAACCAAACTGTTTTTGAAATGATCTGTGAAGATTTGATACATCTGGAGAAGTTGAACATATCAGGAACATTAGTGGTAGATCTGATGCCCCTAGCATTGCTGTCATCAAAACTAACAAGCCTTTCTATTTGTGTAAGTGAAGCTCTTCAGATGAAAATGAATTTTTCAACTGACTTTTTTTTTTTCATGAAATGTTACAGGACCTCTCTTCTGCTGAGAATGTGATCACAACCATAAGACAGCTCAAGTTACTCAGATTTTTAGATATCAGCTTATGTATTGAAAGAGTAGAGAGTGAACTATCATACCTTCATCACCACCCTGTCATAGCTTTGCTAGAAGATCCTGATGTATTACCAGAACTTTCAGCTCTAGATATTTCTGGTTGGAAAGTGTATAGTTCAAAGGATGAACTGATGACATGTATTGAATCTCATCCAAAATTAGAATATTTGGGCATTGTTTTGTGCCCTGTAGCTTTTGACCCAGTTTTTTCTGATTCTGGAGGCATCAACCATTCAAAAAATTTAGTAATTGCTGGTTTAGGAAATGAAGAACAGATTAAGGTCACTCTCAAGAAGTACAAAGATAGGTAAGCATGTTTTCACTGCTGCAACACATCAATAGTGGTACACTGGATTGTTTTATTCCTGGTTCTTTAGTGAATATTCTGCATTTCCGTTATTATTTTGTTCCCATTGTATTTTATATGAGCATAATAATGCTTGCATAAAATTCCAAGTAAAATTCAATCTGGAATCAATTGCAGTTGCACAATTTTAAAAATATTGAGTTCATCAGAATAGATTCTCAGTTTATGATCATTATTCTGGACTCCTATCCCAGGAAATATTTAATATATTCCACAGAAGGATATGTCTAAAATGATATTGCCTACAATTTCCCAAGAAAGTCCAAGGAATCAAATATTATCAAAGCATTTTCTCATATAAAACTCTACAAAGGAAAGATAGCCCTTGAGATTGCTTATTACATCTACTAGTATGAAGAATTTGAAACAAAAAAGAAATAGATACACATATCTGAAAATATCAATTTTTCACTATTTATTTTGGACATTTGCAAATTGTCACAGAGGAATAATTTCTCTTTTAGATTCCCATAATGACATTTTTCTAGGCTGTGACATTTCTTTCTACTAATATTATATTGAAATAATAGTCAATTTTCTATGTTCAAAAATAAATAATCTTCAACTTCATTGAGATATTTTGTAATCTAATTTCCAATCTGAAGTCATTTATCCTTGAACCAAAACAAATTTTCGACTGCGGCGCCTTTTCACAATGCTGTTGCTTCTTCTATTCACCTCCCCTGAGTACGGTGAAAAAGTTCGAAGGATAGGCAACACTTGATGGAAAATGGCACAAAAATTCAAGGGAGTGATCAAACAGAAGCCAGCCGCACATTTGTGGTTTTGTGTCAGCACTCAGCAGACCCTGTATTCCATCTCTCTATGGACTATGTCCTATATTTTCTTTCTAGTTGCTTAACCCATTTGACCCTGAAACTACTTTTTCCGATTTTGTATATTTTTTTATCAAAAACAGTTGATGGAAGGTCCTATAAGTCGAGAAAAAATTATAAAAATGTTTTCCATCTCGCTGTCCCTTCAAAAGGACGGTAGGATAAAGGGCCATAAAGGGGAAAACTAATCAAAGATTCAATGATATGTTTATATTATATCATACAAAATGCTCAGCAAAATACTTAAAACTTTTAGAAACTTATTGCTATGATAGGCCAAAAAATACGGTATCATAGCCTCATCAAGGCTGTGATTCTCTTCAATTAGGGCATGATTGAAAAACCGTCACTATCGATCCAAAACTTGACAAAATCCTAACGATCGCGATTGGCCTTGTTTAAGAGATCAACAAAATATAATGTGACACTGGCGACATCTTCAAACCGTCAGCTGAATCAGAAAAATACAGGTTTCGTTTTGAAGTCCTTTTGAAAGGACGGTAGGCGTAAATGGGTTAAAACAGTTCCCTCAACATTCCTTTCATCATAAATAGGGTTCATGTAGATTAATTTCAAACTAAATATTTCAAATACATTTGACACGATTAGAAATCGAATTGATAATTTTGAATTACAATTGATAGATTTTGAAACCAACTTGACACTTATGTGTAGAGTCTAATATATTTTAAAGAACTAATCCAAATTGATTTTTTTTATTGTTTGAAGAAATACCCTGTATTTTCCGATTACAATTTTTTTAAATCTTTTTTCGTTTATCTTTTTCTGTATCTTTTTTTATTGAGTAAATTTACATGTATCATTCTTTATTCATTATTCATCTACATTTCAAAAATAACAATTATAAACTAAAGTTACATCATAATAGTACAAATTCAGTTCTAAAATCTGTTGTTGCTAATAACTCTTAGTGTGATGCTTTGCAACATGTGGATATACAGGGTGAAGAAAATAAAGTGTCTTAAAAGACAGGGGCATGCAAATTTTCAGAAGATTTTGTTGATTGCCGGTTGGTTACCGAACATCATTTGATCGAAAATCAATTGATCGAAATACCAATTGATCGAAATATCAATTGATTGAACTACATTTTGATGGAATATAATCATTTGCTTATAATATTCAATAAAGCCCTGGTTTCTCTGACCAGATCGGCCCGAAATATTTCGGTTATATAGAACCGAAAGTTCGTTAGCGTTTCCGGTGAAACCAAGCGTATTTGTGGTACGTAGTGGCTTGTATAAAAGATCGGACCGAAATTTCGGGAAAGATTTTCCTATTTTTGACATGACTATTATGCAATGTATGACATAACTTTTCCTTGGAAGAAATAGGAATCAAATGCCTATTTGAAGGTAGCGAACTGATTTCATCCTTTATGATTCCTTTATGATTCAGTATATCATGGAATAGTGATGGAGTTGAACGGAAAAATTCTTTGAATTTTTTATCATTATCCGAAAGATGCTTCAACACTAACAACTCATAAACATCTTCTTTGTCCCTTTTCTCAAACATGTTCAAAACTTTATTATTTTTAGTACATACTCCGAATAACGCATACTCATCATCGTCATCATGTTCTTCTTCTGAAATCATAGCAATAAAAAAATCCATTTTTTATTTTAACTTTGCCGCAAACACTCTACGAGAAGACTGATATATATCGGAACGAAAATTTACGAAAATTTTCTTCAGACAAACCACACATAGACGAAACTTCTGAACGAACTGAACCCGGCGAATATCCACGTTATGTACGCTGATATTCGCCGAAATATTTCGGGCCGATCTGGTCAGAGAAACCAGGCCTTAATACTTACCGATTCGTCTCAAACCCTTTGTATAGATTCCAGGAATTCTAAAAACTTAATGTTTTGTTCTAATTAATCATATTTTTCATCATACCATTTAAATGTAATTGTTGAAGTATTTATCATTGTTTTTGCAAAAGTTACTTTGGCGCTTTTTGATTAATTTGCGTGCATTGTCGGCTTTTAGATGCCTTTGTACTGGAACCATTGGTTCTAGCGACTTGGACAAGGTATACCTTTCTTAAGTATAAAAGAAGGGATAACAAATTTCTTCCGCCGAAAATGACATACAGTGCATAGCAAAAAAGTTACGACCGATTCAATAGGGATGGAACCCTGTATGTAGCGCCCTCTATCATTCATCACAAAACTAAAATCATATTTGAATTCAGCATGATAAAAAAAACCCTGTATACCACATTTTATCTATTTCTTGCGTCTCTGGCTAAAGATATTCAAAGAAAACCAAAACAAAGAATCAAATTCAACACCCCGTATCTTTTAACCTAAGGCCTTGCGGACCCATGTTCATAGGAACTTTTTTTCTCATTTTAGTATCCTCTATTGTGTGGCACTATACAATGTACTTTTTTCTATGTCACCCTGTATATGTCAGAATTTAGTCACATTCACCCCCCCTTGGAATGGGATTATAATGTTTGAAGGGCATCATTCAAGGTTTTGTTTTGTTGTTTTTAATATCTTGATCAGTTTTCGAGATAGGTATTGAGAGTTGAAATCATGTAATCCATAATCTATCACCCTGTAAGTTTACTCAAACGTCTTAGATACATTCGTTTGGAATAGTTCCAAGAAGTACGCTTTTGGGATCTTCTCTCTCCGTATTGAGTATTATTTCAATATACGTGTAGTGAGAATAAATTAGATAATTTGCCCCAAAATGTCACTGTGTTTAAAAATGTCACTATTAGAGAGCCTAAAAGAAAAATTCCATCGATTGTCCGTGACACCTTGTTCTGAAAAATGTTTGCAGAAGGAACATAAAAAATCGGAAATATTCTTGTTATACGACGCTATACATAGTGGAGTATACTACGGCCTTGCCAAAAATGCTATCTCGGAAACTAAGCGAGATAGCAACTTTGGTTTTTGTGTGTGGTCTGTCTGTCTGTCTGTACTCTGTGTTAATCATAAATCGATATATCTCCGGAACCCTTTGACATATCGACTTGAAATTTTGCCATCTTATTGTACTCAAAACAATATTATGTCATTAAAATATGAAGGAATTCGGAAAACTCTAAGGTGGTTTTTCCGGGTTTTTTTCGATTTTTCACCGGAAGTTTCTTGTAACCACTCTACAAATCGCAAAAGTGGTCCGATCGATTTTATTTTTTGTGAAAAAAAACTCTATCAGGAAGGGATGAAGCCTATTGAAATTGAGCAGGGTCGGAAAATTCCAAGTGGGTTTTTCAAGGAGATTTTCCGAAACACACGGTTCGCTTTAAAACGACATATGTCCTGAACCAATAGACTAAATCCAAATTTGAAAAATGCACCGTATGCCTCTTTGATGACGCAACAAATTATTATTCAACAATTTTTTCGTGCATCCATCGGAAAATGGAAAAACAAATGAAAATCCAAACATTAAAATTTGAAATCCTTTCAATTCAATATATATCGAAAACAAATGGAAAAATCGAAAATTATCAGGTGTGCAAAGTTATCCACTGGGACATTTCCTACAAATTATTTTCCATAATTTTTTCTGTAAACCCAATAGTACAGGGAATAAAGTGAAAAATATGAAAAAAAAAATTTTAACGACCCATAGGGTACTATGAAGATATATTGAAAAACATAGATTATCGATAGATGAAGCTCATCGACTTCCACTGAACCATTAAAAATTTTTTCATTTTGTTGATTGGAAGATGGAAAAAAAGTGTTGAAAATTTTATTCTCAGATAATTCCAAATATCTCGAAAACAACTGAAAATATCTGAAAATGTTATGAAACCAAAATTATTCCTTCTGATAGAATCTACAAAAAATCCCTATAACATTTTCCTCTGAATTCAATAGTTCGGGAGATACGATGAAAAAACTAAAAAAATTTACAGTTCCTAGATAATCACTTGCCAATAGAAAACGAAACAAAAAACAAAAGGAAGTAAAAAAAGCACACTTGACTGTCTCGATTTTTTTTCCATAAACTACGTACCTAGCTCACTCTACTGTCTTTATTTTTGCCAATAAACTAGGTACGGGCTAAGTACGTAGTTTGTAAGAAAAATCTCCAGTTCTCTGAACTTTCATAGCGTCGTATACACATCATTGGTGCCCAATGATAGTTTCAATATAAAAATATGCTCATGATATGGTGCCATGGCCTCAACTTCCATCTTACATGAGCAATGATAAAATATCATCTGCTTTTATAACGTCGTATAAATTTTCTGACCTTTATACTAATCTGATACCTTTCAAAAACTACGTACCTCACTTGTTAAATGAAATTAATTGTCTAACAATTTCAGTGATCCATTTGATGTTTTGCAAAGTGTATACACATTTCAATGGTCCGTTTCCTAATCAACTCGTTTTTGTAGGTCGAATTATGTACAAAAAGCGTTGTATTACTTATTTCAATTGACGAGCTCGTTTCAGGAAGCTAGACCGGACGTATTCAACCTAGTTCTGCCTGTCATGGAGGCGAATTGCAGCATATTCGGCGTTCAAATGGCCGCCACAGCTTGCCTGTACAATCTGACGAGAGGCGAACTATCGAAAACAATTCATCCTAGGGCTCTGAGCAAAGGGGTCAACCTGACCCTGTATGCTATGGAATATTTTCCAGGGGAATTCCAGCTGCAGAAGAATTCTCTGTTAACGTTATGCAGCGACAGGATATTGCAGGACGTTCATTTTGATAAGTTCAGGTGCGCTAGATTGGTCTTGGATGCTCTGTGTCGCTTTGAAGATGTGAATATGGATCGTATGGCAGTTGCAATATGTAGTATTCTAGCAGCAAAGGTGACTATTCACATGTTGATTCCACAGTTTTTCAATATCTATCAATTTAGTAATTTACTAGCAGACCTGGCAAACGTTGTTTTGCTATATACATTATTTCAATAATTTAAATTTTCAGTTCAATATTCATCAGGACACTATTTTTTTTTTCTGTGACTGGAGAAAAGTTTGGCATTTCACCTCTATTGGCAGGTTATAAAATGTCACTTTTCATAAATTACTTTTTTCTCGTGAAAAAAAAGTGAGTACCTTTTTCCCGGATATATATCACATATATATATACACACTGTTGATGGCTTTTGTTGTGCTATGGTTCCGAGAAAGAACTGCAAGCTCTTTTATCTTAATATCCATAATAGCGATAATTCGCATGGATTTCCGCCGTTTTCTGGCACTTTCGGCCGTCCGAAGATGGCTCGGTGACTATATCGTACGGTGGGAAAATGAAAATTTGTATGTGGCTTATTAAAAATCTGAAATAATTCACATAGACTAATTCGATGTCGTATTGAACGAATCTGTGGTGGAAATTGGGAAATTTTGGGAAATGGAGACGTAGTAGCCTACCGGAGTGGTCCTATTGGCAATAAAAGCGGAAAGATGTCTTTGAGCGCCGATATCTCAAAAACTATCTGTCCTACGGGGCTGATTATGGTCTCATTCGATTCAGCAGGTCATTTTCTACTGGAAAAGTGATAATTCGCGTGAATTTCCGCCGTTTTCTGGCACTTTCGGCCGTCCGAAGACGGCTCGGTGACTATATCGTACTGAAGTCTCAGGTGGGAAAATGAAAATTTTTATTTGGCCTATTAAAAATGTGAAAAAATTCAATCAGACTAATTCGATGTCGTAATGAACGAATCTGTAGTGGAAATCGGGAAATTTTGAAAAATGGAGACGTAGTAGCCTACCGGATTGCTTCTATTGGCAATAAAAGCGAATAGCTGACTTTGAGCGCCGATATCTCGAAAACTATCTGTCCTATCGGGCTGATCGTGGTCTCATTCGATTCAGCGTGTCATTTCCTACTGGAAAAGCAATAATTCGCGTGGATTTCCGCCGTTTTCTGGCACTTTCGGCCGTCCGAAGATGGCTCGGTGACAATATCTTACTGAAGTCTCGGACGGGAAAATGAAAATTTTTATTTGTTTTATTAAAAATCTGAAAAAATTCAGATAGACTAATTTGATGTCGAAATGAACGAATCTGTGGTGGAAATCGGGAAATTTTGAAAAATGGAGACGTAGTAGCCTACCGGATTGCTTCTATTGGCAATAAAAGCGAATAGCTGACTTTGAGCGCCGATATCTCGAAAACTATCTATCCTATCGGGCTGATCGTGGTCTCATTCGATTCAGCGTGTCATTTTCTACTAGAAAAGCGATAATTCGCGTGGATTTCCGCCGTTTTCTGGCACTTTCGGCCGTCCGAAGATGGCTCGGTGACAATATCTTACTGAAGTCTCGGACGGGAAAATGAAAATTTCTATTTGTTTTATTAAAAATCTGAAAAAATTCAGATAGACTAATTTGATGTCGAAATGAACGAATCTGTGGTGGAAATCGGGAAATTTTGAAAAATGGAGACGTAGTAGCCTACCGGAGTGCTTCTATTGGCAATAAAAGCGAATAGCTGACTTTGAGCGCCGATATCTCGAAAAATATCTGTCCTATCGGTCTGACCGTGGTCTCATTCGATTCAGCAGGCCATTTTCTACTGGAAAAGCGATAATTCGCGTGAATTTCTGCCGTTTTCTGGCACTTTCGGCCGTCCGAAGATGGCTCGGTGACAATATCTTACTGAAGTCTCGGACGGGAAAATGAAAATTTTTATTTGTTTTATTAAAAATCTGAAAAAATTCAGATAGACCAATTTGATGTCGAAATGAACGAATCTGTGGTGGAAATCGGGAAATTTTGAAAAATGGAGACGTAGTAGCCTACCGGAGTGCTTCTATAGGCAATAAAAGCGAATAGGTGACTTTGAGCGCCGATATCTCGAAAAATATCTGTCCTATCGGTCTGATCGTGGTCTCATTCGATTCAGCGTGTCATTTCCTACTGGAAAAGCAATAATTCGCGTGGATTTGCGCCGTTTTATGGCACTTTCGGCCGTCCGAAGATGGCTCGTTGACAATATCTTACTGAAGTCTCGGACGGGAAAATGAAAATTTTTATTTGTTTTATTAAAAATCTGAAAAAATTCAGATAGACTAATTTGATGTCGAAATGAACGAATCTGTGGTGGAAATCGGGAAATTTTGAAAAATGGAGACGTAGTAGCCTACCGGATTGCTTCTATTGGCAATAAAAGCGAATAGCTGACTTTGAGCGCCGATATCTCGAAAACTATCTATCCTATCGGGCTGATCGTGGTCTCATTCGATTCAGCGTGTCATTTTCTACTAGAAAAGCGATAATTCGCGTGGATTTCCGCCGTTTTCTGGCACTTTTCGGCCGTCCGAAGATGGCTCGGTGACAATATCTTACTGAAGTCTCGGACGGGAAAATGAAAATTTTTATTTGTTTTATTAAAAATCTGAAAAAATTCAGATAGACTAATTTGATGTCGAAATGAACGAATCTGTGGTGAAATCGGGAAATTTTGGAAAATGGAGACGTAGTAGCCTACCGGATTGCTTCTATTGGCAATAAAAGCGAATAGCTGACTTTGAGCGCCGATATCTCGATATCTATCCTATCGGGCTGATCGTGGTCTCATTCGATTCAGCGTGTCATTTTCTACTAGAAAAGCGATAATTCGCGTGGATTTCCGCCGTTTTCTGGCACTTTCGGCCGTCCGAAGATGGCTCGGTGACAATATCTTACTGAAGTCTCGGACGGGAAAATGAAAATTTTTATTTGTTTTATTAAAAATCTGAAAAAATTCAGATAGACTAATTTGATGTCGAAATGAACGAATCTGTGGTGGAAATCGGGAAATTTTGGAAAATGGAGACGTAGTAGCCTACCGGATTGCTTCTATTGGCAATAAAAGCGAATAGCTGACTTTGAGCGCCGATATCTCGAAAAATATCTGTCCTATCGGTCTGATCGTGGTCTCATTCGATTCAGCGTGTCATTTTCTACTAGAAAAGCGATAATTCGCGTGGATTTCCGCCGTTTTCTGGCACTTTCGGCCGTCCGAAGATGGCTCGGTGACAATATCTTACTGAAGTCTCGGACGGGAAAATGAAAATTTTTATTTGTTTTATTAAAAATCTGAAAAAATTCAGATAGACTAATTTGATGTCGAAATGAACGAATCTGTGGTGGAAATCGGGAAATTTTGGAAAATGGAGACGTAGTAGCCTACCGGATTGCTTCTATTGGCAATAAAAGCGAATAGCTGACTTTGAGCGCCGATATCTCGAAAACTATCTATCCTATCGGGCTGATCGTGGTCTCATTCGATTCAGCGTGTCATTTTCTACTAGAAAAGCGATAATTCGCGTGAATTTCTGCCGTTTTCTGGCACTTTCGGCCGTCCGAAGATGGCTCGGTGACAATATCTTACTGAAGTC